CAGATCCAACAACATCTCTTTCCCTTCGAAGTAGATTAGGTATAGGATATCTTGGATTTTGTCCGGCAGGTCTTGTGAGATGATAAGCATGAGAAAAAAGGCATCAACCCACCAGGAATAGGAGCAACATGATTACGATTGTCAGAAACACTGTTGATTCCAACGTTGGATATCGTCGAGATACCTGAAGCCGTGGGAGAAATAGGTGAACCTGGTGGAGAGATTGAAAGTGATGGACTTCTTCTTGGAAAAAGTAATGGTAATGGACGATCTTCACCTCTTGATCGTTTCCATAATGCACATGCGTTACATAATGATCCTCTCCATTGAGGGGTATCGATCTCAGCGCAGTTTGTACATTGTTTTTCACCATGTTTGTTATTAGGAGGAAAGCGACCTGGTACAGGAGGGATTTTAGAACGTTTCTTTGTTTTCATAGGTTTCTTTTCTTCCAATGTTGGTTTGTTCTGTGATGATTGAGGTTGAGTCAGTGGAGTAAGATCGAAACCTGTTTTCTGAACATTGTTGGGTTTAGTATGATTGTTGACATGTTGGGAATGATGATTGTGATGTTGGTGTTTATACGTTTCAGAATGATTGTGAGTGCTTGTATGATGAGTGTGAGTGTTATTGTGATCGTAAACTTTAGACTGATGAGTGTTGGGTTGTTGATGAGCATAATTGTGGATAGCTTGAAGATGTGAGGGATGAGTATGGAGATTTCTCTGATCAGTGTCGACACCAGATTGAGATCCATTTTTACGTATCGAATGAGATGCGGGATAAACCAACAAACTTGAGTTCGACTCTGGTGAAGAAGATAACGAACGTTTAATCTCTCTCACATCTCTCAATGGACTTTCAGGGGAAGGAGGAGTGTTCGCTTCTTTCTTACGTCTCTCATTCTTCGGAGATTTTTCTTCTTGTGATCGTCTTGGTGCCGAAGGGAACAAGTTATGAGGATGTATGACATTGTCAATGGTTGGACGACGAGATATGTTGGGACGAGGTTGAGGGGAATTGGGAGTCGGTATAGTCGTTCTACGTTGAGGTCTGAGTTGAGGTCTAGATCTCATTTTGTCTTGCTCAATGTTCTGACCCACTGTGAAAGATAGTTGGTCCGATTTGGTTGGCTGATGGTCAAGAATAGGTGGGAGTATAGTTGATGTTTGGTCGGAAATAGGGGACGACGAAGTTGATATGGGTTGATTGAGTGCTGATTGTGTAGAAGGTGTTGATAATATCGACTCTGATTGTTTTAATATCGAGTGACCTTTAGTCGATCCAGAACGACCCAATGTCGAAAGTGAAGAGAGTGAAGGTCTACCAAATTGACTAATCCTATTCACGTATGATCCAGGCTCTAACCCAATTGGTTCTATCTCTTCTCGATCCAGTGTTAAACCTGTTCGATCTAACCAAAAACCAGAAGCCTCTTTTCCAAACCCAGTTCTGAAGCCTTCAAATACTTCAAGCGAGTTCTTCTCAAAATGATGTAACTCTAAGTCAGGTTTGACAAGGGGAAGCGGACGATCAGGGATCAGATCCATTTGTTTTTTTTCTTCTTCTTACTGTTTAAAACGTAAAATTTACACTCCGCAATGGATCTCTGGGGATGCGATCCAGCCTGCCCGGTCGGCCGAGGGGAGCGTGGGATACAGACGGAGGTTGGCGGAGGAAAAGATGAATGGATGAGACGAGTTGACGAGGCGATGATGTGAGTGAAGTGGGCGGTGTCTCCGCTTTGAGAAAGAATGTCAAAAGTCCAAGAGATAGATTGACGGTGTTTCGGCCCAAGTAGAAAAGTCTCGGCCTTGAGATTGACGTGAGGGCGTAGGTGAATCTTTCAAGATTCGTAATGTCGTGAGTTCAAGGTTGTTAAAGATAGATGGAAGGCGTAGAAGACTTCGGGCGTCAAACACAGCTTCGAAGTCTAGATGTGGAAGATTTGATCGGATCGGATGAAGCAACAAGGCCTGGACCAGATCCACCGGGTAGGATCGGACAGAAGACCTTTCACGGTCAAGTATCCAAATCGAAGACGTGTAGATCAAAGTGAGAAGGCTGGGCGTTGACGGAGGATTAAGATCGAAGCCGCCTATGTCACGGAAGAGGGAAGACCGAACGTTGACGCTGAATTGAGGCCGAGATCGCCTCTGAATTGGGAGAAGACCACACGTCAATGAAGGAAGGCCGAGCAAGTCGGCTATGTAGTTCGAAGTGAGAAGACTAAATCTTAGGTGGAAGAATTCGAAGGTGGATACTCCTTCGAGGGACGATAAGAGAGAGAGAACGACTTGTATTTCAGGTCTCTTGCCTAAAGCGTGTCGAGCGAAGAAATAGGAAAAGTGAATTTAAGATATGAGCGAGGCAGTGGGAATCTTTCGTGGGGTTATACCGTAAAGGAAGCAACTTTGAAGAGGGGTCCTCCAAGGGGGGCGGTGAAGAAAGAATGAAAGAATCAAGCAAGAGTCGTATTCGTTTCGCTACTTTTTGAGGGTATCGAGTTGATCGAATATAATGGAAGATTCAAGGGGGTTAGAGATTTGGATCTCGATAGGACGATTCTGCTAGAAGAGGAAAGGACCGAGTCGAGTCTAGAACAATCGTCAGAAGTGGGAATTTGATACGTTTCGGTCGTCTCGATGCCGAGAGTAGAGCCGGGGCGTACGAAGTGAGAATGGGGCGTAAAATGTATTTCTGTGGGTACGTGAGAACCTTTGGAACAAATTCAATGGGAAACACCTACTCAGAGAGAGTACAATGACCTGATCTGGAAAACGACTTACATATCTCACCGACCATCGCCCCAACCTCCTTTCATCTCGGAGAAAATGATCTCTGACAAACTGTCAATTCCTTTCACCCCCTGCTCCGCCCAACTAGGACCCCCCTCTCAACCCCTGACTTGCAAAGAGCATCGGACGCAATCTCGACTCCGTTGTATCGATGTTCGTCAAAGCATATAGGTGAAAAGATGTCTGCTGGGCGAGGGGCAGGATAGTCTTACGTTGACAAAAAGAAGAAAAGATCGGCTGTATGGTCAATCCGGGTGTTACAACGTCATACTGATGCAGATATGTTACATGGCACTCTTTAACAAAGGTCAGTGATAATGTCAGTACAGCTCAACAGCCAGTGCATGTCAGAACAATCACGCAGCACACCGTCTCATCACGAGACACCAAAGACTACAGCTCTGGGTGTGGCGTTGGAACTAAGAAGGAAGACGAGATTCCAAGATCTAAAGGTGAAGGAGGCGTCGTTGTCGTGAATAAAGAAGTGGGGACGAATATGGAGTAAGTGGAAAGAAGCCTCTTCGTGCACACCCTAAGCCTCCTCCTCTTCCTCGACGGGCATCTCTTGTTCGTCGTACATCTCGTCTTCCGCTCCGGCTTCTTGATATTGCATGTACTCGGAGACCAAATCTTGCAAGTTTGACTCGGCCTCGGACTGCCAATGTGAGCAAGAATAAGTAGGAGAGAACGAGAAAAACGTACGAATTCCAGCTCGTCCATACCCTCACCGGTGTACCAATGTACAAAGGCCTTTCGTTTGTACATTGCTGAGAACTGCTCGCCGATACGTTTGAAGAGCGATTGAATAGAGGTGGAGTTGCAAATGAAGGTAGCTGACATCTTGAGACCACGAGGAGGGATGTCACTGTCTGTCAGCGAATTCGGATCAAAAGTTTCAGATCTGACTCACCACTGAGCACAGGCCACGTTGTCAGGAATCCATTCCACGAAGTAGGCAGAGTTCTTGGTCTGAACACTTTGAATCTGATCTTCAACCTCTTTCATTGACACTTTGCCACGGTAGATGCACATGACGGTGAGGTAGCGCTACGACATCAGCACCATCTGTGGCGCAAGTGAGAAATGACTCACTCCCTGTCGGGGATCCGAAGCAGCCATCATGTTCTTGGCATCGAACATTTGTTGAGTGAGCTCAGGCACCGTGACAGCCCTGTAGGAAGCCGAACCACGAGAGGTGAGAGGCGCGAACCCAACCATGAAGAAGTGCAGTCGAGGGAAAGGAACCATGTTGACAGCCAATTTCCGCAGATCAGAGTTGAGCTGACCCGGGAAGCGGAGACAGGTAGTGATACCTGACATGACGACGGAGACGAGGTGGTTCAAATCGCCGTAAGTGGGAGTGGCGAGTTTGAGAGTTCGCATACAAATGTCGTAAAGCGCTTCATTGTCGATGCAGAAAGTCTCGTCAGAGTTTTCGACGAGCTGGTGCACGGACAAGGTGGCGTTGTAAGGCTCGACAACGGTGTCGGATACCTTGGGCGAAGGGACGACGGAGAAAGTGCACATCATTCGGTCGGGGTATTCTTCACGGATTTTAGAGATGAGCAAGGTACCCATACCGGCACCGGTACCACCACCGAGGGAGTGAGTGATTTGGAAACCTTGTAAACAGTCACAACCCTCAGCTTCTCGACGGACGACATCGAGGACGGAGTCGACAAGCTCGGCACCTGACAATCAGCGGATGTCAGAACTCAGCTTGAAACACACCTTCGGTGTAATGACCTTTGGCCCAGTTGTTACCAGCACCACTCTGGCCGAAGACACTAAGAAATCAGCACGGGCCGTCAGAAGGTAAAGACAAAACTGACAAATTGTCGGGACGGAACAGACTACCCAGCGGTCCACTGCGAATAGAGTCCATGGTTCCTGGCTCTAGATCGATGAGGACGGCACGAGGAACGTATTTGCCTTGAGCTGCTTCATTGTAGTAAACGTCGATACGCTCAAGTTGAAGGTCGGTGGTTCCTTTGTATGAACCGTCGGCCTGGATGCCGTGCTCTTCAGAGACGACCTCCCTGAAGGGTGAAGGTGATGGGCGAATGATAAACGACAAGATCAAAGATAGAGTCAAGAGAAAAAGCAAGCGTCAGCTTATTTCCTCATCGTTCCAGGACGCTCGGACCGTCAGACAGAATTGATGGGGATGAATATGGGTAACGAGAGGTGATGAGCTGGGCAGATTCACTCACCAGAATTTGGCCCCGATTTGGTTCCCACACTGACCAGTTTGGAGATGGACGATTTCACGCACTGTATGATGGCAACGAGTTCATATCGAGATGAAAAGGACAACGAGAGAAGGGGTCAAAGCGTGATAGCAAACCGCCGACCCAGATCGCGAAAGATGGGCATAGGATTCAGGCAATCGTACATGGTTGACGCAGAAGTCGTTTCTCATGGTAGGTAAGGAAGAGAGTGACGACACATGTGGGCCACAGGAGGAGGAGATCAGGTGAGACACAGATATGGTAGAGTCAAAGGGATCGAAATGTAGAGAAATAGGTGTGAGTAGAGAAGAAGAGTTCAAAGAGAGTCTACGTCAGCGTTTATCAGACGATAAGAAGACGATACTGACTGGCTGGTAGACTGATGAACCTGACTGTAAAAGAAAGAGAAAGAGATTATATACGAAAGAGGAAGGAGGGAAGAAAGATGTTGTTGGGGGGTGGAATGTGTTTGCGATGGAACAGGGGATGGCTCGTGCACGCGTGACGCGTAGATATGACGTGGAGTTTGTCACTTGAGAGCTTATCACTCACTCTCTTCACTCTACTCACTCTCCTCTATCACAACACGTCTCCAATAGATGTTTGACCGAGTCTGAACCATAATTCATTCTTCATGTGGTATTTGTGTCATCATATATCCTCTAACGCCTCATTATCAATCACTCTTCACTCGATTCATTCTTCATTTCCCGCTTCTTCACTCCCACCTCGGATATCCTTCAGTCGATCCATGATCCATTCACTGAGACCTTTCTCCAGGCGAACTCGACCGTCATTACTTAAAACTCTACATCTCTCACATCATCAACCCATCTCAGTATCTCACACAATCTCTCTCAAGTCTCGGAATGGGCCATCTCATCCGGTCTCCTCCCGTACTACCTTCGCATCCACCTCTAAGCCCAATTCCCAACCATTCAGTCAAACTTCTCTCTGCAATACTCATTTGTACCCTAAAGTCATGAACACATCCATATCATCTATTCGTAGCACAAACAAGTACCAAAACTCTCATCGGTTTCATCTGAAATACCCCCCGGAAAGACATTACTCTTCCATTGATAATGGCTGCAGTAAAGACGAGACAGACGAGCTTAATGACAAGGACGATTCTAAAGAAAATGGCTACTCCAGTGAGAATGTGAACTCTCTTTTACATATAACCCCTCGTTTTCTCACTAGAAAAGAATTCGAACGTCTTCATCGCCTATCCGCTCTCATTCCACCGGAAAAAGGATCAAAAGAAGAAGCTATACTCCTCAAAGAGCTCAGTGGATTGTTAGGACTTATGGACTTGGTCAAAGATGTTGATATGGAATTTAAGGATGATGAAGAGAGGGAAAGGATGATAAGGGATTTGTTATCGGATACAGGGACGGAGGTGGTTATTGATGGTACAGGCGGGGAAGTTTCTTGATTTGGAGATTGAGTGGAATATTAGGGTTTTATGGGTTGACCATATGGAAGATTAGAGGATGGCCGATATGAGTGCCAAGGGAGATGGTAGAACTGAGAATAAATCTGTGAGCTAGACGGATTACCATGAGAAGAATAGAGTAGAAGTGAAGAGAGAGCCATACAGAAAATAGACTGTCTTGCAAAAATCATCATACGCATGTAGCCATACTTTCATATCATCAACAGAAAAAATCTACAATTTACCAATAATAATCCAGCTTTATCGGTTCTCCACATTCATCACTTCCCTACTTCGTCCCTCGACAAAGAGCTCTGGGCCTAACGAATCATTTCATGACACAACACTCATCTCCCGACGTTCATCTTGAGACAAGCACCCGTCACATCCACGTTATCCCAAGGAACGGTCTTCTGTTCTTCTGTTGTCTCTTCACTGGGCTCTCGATCAGAAGCTTGTTGTTGACGCATCCGAATGTATGTCAAGGTATTACGGAAGTGCTGCAGATTAGTTTGATCTCTCTCTTGTACCTTTCTCTTTATGTCTCAACTGTAGAGAGCAGATCGATAATAGATCGAGATGAGCGGCTGTTGTCAGGGTGGAAGGAGATTAATGTGACAGAGATGAATACTCATATGTAATGACAAATGACTGAAAACAATTGAATGAAGCACACGACAAAGGAACGAGAGGGGGGTTAAAGCATACGACAAGAAACCAAGAGAAAAACGTCAAAGGCAAATTTGAGGAGGAGAAGGACGAAAGGAAAAGATGAAACGAGACCAAGACCCACCTTTACTATCATATCCGGTGAATTAACACCATCCACTAATCCAGGTGGACTAGCAGCACTAGGATGTACATCACCTCCATGTATACTATCTATATTACTTGTGATCAATTCAACTAAAGAATTGACGTATTTAGGAATGACGGCTTCTACACCTTGTTCAAAGTAATAAACATAACGATCTAACGCGTCGACGTAAAGTTGGACAGAAGTGAGTTCGTCGATACATGATGAAGCTATCCTCAAAGATTTTTGAAGACATTCGAGGACTCGTTTACCATCTCTGTAAGGTGTCTAGAAGATTAGTATTTTTTCAATTATCTCTTCCATATCATCCTCTAAAACTATATATCCCTCCATCGCGTACTCTAATAACCTTTACTGTATTACACAACCTCAACAACTTGGAGAAAGAATTTTGAGAAGCAGAAGTGGAAGGAAAAAAAAGGAGGATAAAAGAATATCACTGACTTTATCATCTTTATCCCTACCATTCACATCAGATTGCCACCACATATGACTAGCATATAAAACAGCAGTAGCTTGATGACTCTTTTTCAATAATTTACTCCCATGTAAAGCTGCTTTAGTTATGAGAGTATCATAATTATCACTCCCGAAAACTCTACTGGTTTGAAGGGAAGAGATTATACCAGTTATAGCATGAAGTTGAGCACGAGATTCAGATATAGATTCTTCGTATATCACAAATGCTTGGACGAAGAATTCGTATGTTAATTCTTCAAGACGACAATCGTCTGCTACTTGAGCGGCGAGGAGAAAGAGTCGCAGACAAATTTCAGGAGCTTCAACCTTGTTGTAGAGGATGGAAGTGAGTTGGTGGATGAATTTGAAAAGGGAGGTGACACGAGGTTCCCAGTCTGTTTCCTGAGACATGAGCATGATTCTAACCATCTGGCAGGCACCTTTTGCATGTCAGATCTCCGAATGATTCATAACAACTTCGGTCTGTCATAAGGACGTGAAGCAAAGTGAGTATCACGAGAGAGGAAAAGAGTCAAAGGAGAATGGGGCATAGTGGGGACGAATGGACGCATCGACTCACGACATGTTCTCGTGATTTGAACCGACGCGCCAGTTGGATACCCGAAGCGATCAACGGTGGGAATGTGTATCGTATCCTATCTCCACCATCTGCGAAATGTTTTCGTGCCGTTTGTAACAACTGATAGTCAGTCAATCAATCAATCACTCGGCCAGTAATTCAATAATCCGAGGTTGGGAGCGATGAAGAAAGAATGACCCACCTCCATTTGTACCCCCAAATCATCCGATTTGAAAAGATGGACCATCCTCGCTATCCATCCTTGCTCTTCTGCCAACTCCCTAGGATCCACAGGTAATCTACCACGCCCCGTACCTCCTATCGTGGAATCTTTCTGATCTCTGACCAGGACCGCACAAAGTCCCAACACACCACTGACGTCGTCGGATGAGTCGATGAGGGTGTGATTCTTCAGAACAGAAGAGACTACAGCTTGTCCGATGGCTAGGCGGGTGGAATATGGTTGAGCATTCAGGAGTGGGATGTATGAAGGAATGGCGAGAAGGGTCAATACGGATAAATACGAAGTGATGGGAGCGAGTAGAAGGGCGAGGAGGTTGGCAGTGGTTTGTGGAGAATGAAGATCGGGACTGGTCGTAAGCAACACTTCAGATGACCGATTACTGCATGCTGATATGTGGAAGAGAACAAGGTGGAGCTCACTTCTGCTGGAAGTCTTGCACTTTGACACTGGCAAAAGACAAGATTTGATCGACATATTCCAATCGATCAGGATAACAGCTCAACGCCAAATTGATAAGTGAAACACAAAGAGCTGTGATATCTTGGATCGATAAGTCAGGTCGAGCCTGATTATCAGCTCCATAAACCATGATAAACTGGTGTCACCGACCTTGATGAGTTGCACTACCTGTTCCCAAAACACTTCGAAAAGTCGTACATCTTCAGGTATACCTCTAAACTTCTTGACAGGTTGATCTGTAAGTTTCTCTTCCACAACTTCTGATCCCTCCCCTGCTCCTTTTTCTTTCTCTTTCTCCTGTTCGTCCTTCCCAGCGGTATCACCATTTTCCTCTGTAGGAGAGATCAGTTTAGGACTGGTCTCCCCTGCCCATTCCGCAGCCTCGGCAGGTTTTTCACCTTCTTCCACCCCCTTTCCCTTCCCTCGAGCACCTTTCACTCTTTCAACCAATCTTTTAGCTGCCTCTTCTTCTTGTCGTTTCTTCTCTTCGGGATCCTCATTCTCCGCCTCTCGTGCTGCATAAGCGGCCAATCGATCGATAAGCGCAATAACGATGTTTTTGATGTTCACCCTAGGATGAAGGTTGGCACAAGCACCTAAAAAGGAACCCAAAGTGTGAAGGTGGAAATCATCGGTAAAAACTTGTATCACCACTTCCATGAGATATTCCTGTGCGATGACATCTTTGCAATTGACCACTTGTTCCAATACCGAAGGTAGAATAGTCCGACGGTACATGCCTAAATCGACTCCTTCGAGTTGAGAAAGACGGACGAGATTGGTTCCTACGAGTATACGAAGATCTTTTCGTTCTAACTCTCGTTTTTCTCGTTCGCGGGAATGTCCTTGATGTTGGAGTCGGACCCATAATTTGTTCATTTCGATAAAGTTTGTAAGGACAAATCCGATCGAGTCTTGAAGGTTTCCTGAGGGGCTGGAGTATGAGCGTTCGTCTCGTTTCCCCTCACACAATGGACGATGACAGTTCTTGATAGCATATCGAGGTGAATCCATATCAGTCAAAATCTGAAATCATATGTCTACACAGTGTGATGAGTTGACAAAAATCAATCAATCTATGAGTGAGGGAGAGATGAAATGACGCCACAGGGGATGTATCACGATGGGCCAAGGGAGCCAAGGGTAGTCTTGGCGAGAAGAAGGTCAACCCACCCATCACTGGTCCCGACCGGCAGAAAATCTCTGGTCTGACCGGACAGATAATGTCGAAGAAACAACCCCCTTGTTGGATGTTGTACACCACGAGACATCTCCAACATGTCCTTCATGATTTCTTTCACCGGTGCGTCGGGGATGGACATGTAAACTGAACCAACCGTGATCATGAGGTAGAGTCGTGGCACAATGTTTCCTGCGTATCTGAGGATCAGCACTGTGCTTTCTCATCCTATCACATTGCTGAATAGGTATTTCCTCGAGTCATTCCATCCTCTTGAGCGTTTGTTTCAGTTTCTTATAACTCGTTGTATATTGTACAGTTGCATCTCCCAGATCGCAGAAGCATGAGAGAAGTCGGGATCTTCAACTAGACATGCGCTCAGGGATGACCAGTGGGGAATGTGATATGAATGCAAAATGATCAATCTCTCGCCACATGACCCACCAAGGTGCTAGTAGTAAAAAGCAGAAGTCTGATGATAAACAAGAAAGAAAGACGATCAATGATATATAGGAGAGCATGTGATATGTAAGAAATAAAACTATGACTCACTGTACCAATTCATACAAATCCGCCAAATGATGTCTGCCATCCGTATGAGCTTCATAGAGATAATTACTCAAATACCTCAAACTATCAAAAACGCTCATATACAATTCGTAATATTGTTTCGGGCTCAAACTACTTGTTCTCAATTCTCCCAACATGGAACTAGCGGCTTTGAGAGCTTCCATGATTTGATCTTGTTCGAGACATCGTTTCAATTGAACGGTTTGTAGCTTTACACTTGCTAGTATTTCCGGTAATTTTGGATCGTCCATCGTTTCCTGTGTCGTAGTGGGTCCCACCGCGACGAATGTACGATGTGAGATGTGGGAATGTGAGTGTGAGTGTGAGTGAGAAGGTGGGATAGAGGTGAGTGGGATGTTAAGGGAAGGAGAGTTGGAAGCGGAGATTTCTAATGGAATTCCGTGGCAAATAGTATTTATCAAAAATCCATCCATGTTTCCTTTTCTTTTTCTTTTCCTTGTCACAACATCTTCTTCACTACCAAATTAGCAGACAAGACAAGACAAGACAAGACGACTTTGAGGTGACAACATACAAGATTCTAAAGAAGACTTTATAATTGTACAGTTCAAATCATGTTGATGGATCATCATATCCTCTTCAAACCTCTCAAAAGTTTCCCTCTCAAATCCTCATCTCGACCATCCATCATTCCCCCCATCACTTCCATCATCCCTCTCGGCCGATTTTATTCTTCTCCTTCTACCTCTTCAGAACCACCAGTTCATGTTCCTGTATCGCTCATCTCACAACTACGTAAATCTCGCCCTGTACCTCTTTCCTTAGCTCGAGAAGCTCTTGCTAAATCTTCTCTCGACATCCAACGTGCGCTGGAATATCTTGATTCGTCTTCTTCTTCTTCGGCCAAAGCGGACAAACTTTCATCTCGACCGACTTCTCAGGGTACTGTAGCAGTCAGATTGTTGGGATCGAAAAGAGCTTCAATGATACATTTAGGATGCGAAACTGATTTCGTCGCTGCTACAAGGACATTTCAAGAATTAGCATCTGGGATAGCTGGTACTGCTGCTTTTCTAGATGTCCCAATTATCTCTTCCCCCGACTCTATCCAAATCCCCTCTTCTTCCACTTCTTCTTCCACTTCTTCTTCCAACTCTTCCATCCCTTCTATCAAATCGATATCTTCCAATAAATCTTCAACTATATCTTCCGAATCAACCCGAACCAAAGGAATAACAATTGATAAACCCACACATCCCGAAGAGATTCTTTCTTTCCCTACCGAAGCTCTACTTTCCGCACCCATGATCACCCTTCCGGAGAATGACGAACAAATCAGTCTTCCTGATCCTCAAACAGTCCAACAACGTATTCTTTCCAGTCTTGGAGAAACTGGCGAAAACTTAAAATTACTTCGAGCAGTCAGTTATGCCGCTCCATTCCCAAGTGATCCGAATATCCGTTATGTACCAGGAGTCTATTCACATCAAGGTAAAGTAGCTAGTTTAGTGGTTCTTTCTGTCATCTCGGCAGATCCTGAGAAACCTATCGCTAGTTTGGTTCATGGACCCGGAGGACCAGAATTGGAGAATGGATTGAACGAGTTGGCACGAGGTGTGGCTAGACAAACGGTAGGATTTCCTACGAGAAGAATAGAGAAAGGAGAGGTCGAGAATGAGGAAGGAGAGGTTTTGTTGGATCAGGATGGGATGATGTTGAGTATTTCGGCTGGAGGAGAAGGTGGGAGTGTAAGGGATATTTTAGATAGATGGGGGAATGAAAGAGGTGTCAAGGTGAAGGTTGTAGGGATGAAAAGATGGAGTATCTCTGATGATCTTGAAGGGAGTGATGAGAAGGTTTAGGGTAGAGAAGTCATATCAATCTTACGCATGGATGGGACAATTCTCCAAATATCCAATATCTTATCCGTTTATTCCTTGACGGTCCCTCAGAGTCTCTCCCAGTATGAGATCATCGCAATTTTGCCCCAATACCTCTATTGCCCGTCTATGACCTCGCTTTATCCATTCGTAACAAATACGCCGCTCATATACTCATCCTTTTCGCTGATACGACATTGAAAGATCATTTCATGGTTTTTTTGGTCAAGAATGCATGGATAAACCTACAACCACGATAAAATGTTGTATCATACAACCTCCCTAGGTGGACCTACAGCCCCACCTCCCCCTCCTACACTCCCAGCGGCCTCTTCCAGCTCCCTCTCTATATCCTCCAATCTTGTCTCCTTCTCCCCAGTCTCCATCTTACCATCCACATCCTTCTTCTCATCCACAGCCTTCTTCTCATCCGCCAAACCCTCATCTCTACCAATCTTGTCCATTGACACTTTCTTGTCCGTCATCACCACATTATCCACCTCCGACTTGACCCCATTATCAATCTCCGTCGTTACCGCATTATCCATCTGCGAAGTACCACCATGTTTATGAGCATGTTTAGCTTTTCTCTCTTCTAACCAAGCTTTCGCTTCTGCTTTTCTTTGTTGATCGTCCGGACGTTTCAAAGGTATTTGCTCGACGAAGAATATGACTATGAAAAAAGATAATCCAGCACATGGGATGAAATACCAGAAACAAGCGTTGATAGCTTTTGCTATTTTGTCAGCTTACTTTTCCGCCTATAATGATCCCAGACTACAATTCCCCGGACCGTGCAGTGAGAGCTTTGTTTCTATGGATATTGTCTGACAGAAACAGGAGTGATAGGATAGAGATGTGATGAAGGGTTTGCAAGCCTAATTTCCGAGATTGTCAATTCGCACGCCTAAGCCGTTCTTCCAACGGGATCTGGCCCTCTCCTTGCTGATGTCTGCTTTTTCATCCATCTCTCTCCATTTCACCTCCCTTATCATTTATTGTATCCTCGACTTTCTCTCTCTCTCTGACACGCAAGCCTCCAGAACTTGTTTTGCGAAAAGTAAGGGAGAGACAACTCACAATAAGCCGCTATAGCCCTTGATTTATGAACAGCATCCAACCCGATACCTCCTATCTGTGTCGGATCATTCAAAATCTTCCTAATCGTTTCCGCGTCAAATCCCCCATTATTCAAATTTTGTCGGACTATATTATTCACCAAAGCTGAACAAACTGTCAAACCGATAGTCCCTCCTAACATCCTCACAAAATTTCGACATCCTGTCGCCGTGGCCATTTCGCTTCTCTGTACGGCTGCTTGAATCGCGACCAAACTCGTTTGAAAAGTTTGTCCAGCCCCGATACCATCTATCAAGCCGAAAATCACTATCTTGGCAGTACTGGTAGTCTCATCGATGGAAGATAATAAACCTATCCCAATTGTCCAAATTCCGAACCCAGCCACTAAGTTGTAATAATAATCACCGGTACGAGATTGGATCATACCTGCTGTAAAAGAACAAACTGTTTGCGTGAGGACCACGGGTAAAATGAGTACACCTGATCTGATGGCGGAATCACCTCGGACCACTTGAAAGTAATTCGGAAGATAGTATAAAGTACCGAAGAAGATCATACCGTTGAACCAAGTGGTCAAAAGGGCTGCGGCGACGGTACGATTTCTGAAGATGTGGAATGGGATTAAAGGTAGAGGGACAAGTTTCATTTCTACGAAAATGAAAACTCCCAAGAGGGCTAGACCAAGGATAAGAGGAGCAAGGACAGCAGCGGATGACCATGAATATTGATTACCTGCCCAAGAGAGACCGAGAAGGACAAGGACGGCCCAAGCGATCGTCAAGATAGATCCGAACCAATCGACTTTTCGGAGTTTCTCAAAGACACTACCTTTGACAGGTTTAAGAGGAAGGAGGATGGTGATTACTACCATGGCGAATACGGTAACGGGGATGTTGATATACTAAGGAGTTTGTCAGCCACGTTCATCTCTTCAACTGTCTGATCCCTGAGGTGTGGCTTTCACTATCGGGAGGAAGAATGGGGATTTGTTGATATTGGGAGAAGGGTCATGAGTTGAGGACAGGGAAAACATTGGACGTACAAAACACCATCGCCATGTCACTTTCTCAGTGAACAGACCCCCAACCACTGGCCCGATAGCATTAGAACAAGCCACTATACATCCGGTGACACCTTGATATTTCCCACGTTCTTTCAATGACACGACGTCAGAAACTGATCATCAGCACGGCTTGGTTTGCATCACGGTCATTCGGCTTTTATCGGACCAAAATCCCATTTGGAATCAGGGAGAGGAGGATTTGCTCACCGATGATCATCACGAGAGTTAAAATACCACCACCGCCGATCCCTTGAATAGCACGGAACACGATAAGTTGAATCATACTCTGACCGTGTCAGTCTGTGCTGGTCCAATGACGAAAACTACTTACGTTAGAGACGGCACACGCGATGGAACCAATCAGAAAGATTGCGCAACTGCCAAGAAGAACAACCTTTCGACCGAATATATCTGACAATCGACCATATATCGGTTGCATGGACTGATTGATCAGCATTTCCGATCTCTCCATCCAAAATATAGGTATCGACCCACGGTAGAAGTCAAAAGATAAGCTGTCCCGACCCAAGAAGTGATGTCTGCTCGATTGAAAACTCTACCCAACGTCGGAAGAGCGGTGGTGACACTAACATCATCAGCTAATGAAACGTAATCAATCGAGAGTCGACTCACATGGTCTGATCTAACAAACTACAGAAAAGTGCCGCACACAATCCTACCATGATCAATAACACTTGTCTCACCGGTAACAAATTCGTTTGATCCTGTAATTCCACTTCCGGTTTTCCTTTTCCATGATGATGACCTTCGATCTTTTCCTCTTCATCCCTCAACACTTTCCTATCATTAGGTATAGGTGAACCCGAATGATCCGATTCATGTTCTTTATCCTCATTATGAGTATCCAAACCATTATCCTCTTCAGCCGCAGGATAATCATCAGAATCAGCTCCACCACCCGTTTCATGTGTCGCCATACGTCTCAATGCCGTTTGAGCATGGGTGGAGGTAGACGTCGTTGTCCGTGATAATGGAGCCAAATGGGCGGCAGCATCGGTCGGACGATGCCTTAAAGGTTGTTGTACGCGGCGCGTCGGAGGCCGGGAAGAAGATGCAACGGGGGAATCGGTCATACCCGACATTATCAATTGAGTGGGTCGTCTGACAGTTGAGTTTGTTGGTGTAGAGGAAGAAGGAGCGTTGACGAGAGTAAGACTTGAAGTGTTACTTGAGTCTGAGGACATGAATTCGGGATTATCATTCATGCTTCAGTCGATGTGAAGACTGAGGGGGAAAGAAAATAAAATCTTTGATCCGGAAAAGCGGAGTTGTTGTTCCGAAAGACTTGGTGAGTTCGTTTCCTCACTGTCAGTGTCGCACGGAACAGAAAACGAGACGTAGAAAGGGGGAGTGAAGAGCGTCGGTAACTGTGTGAGAGGATCAAGAAGAATGTAGAGGTGGGGCTTTGGATAGATGTAAATCTGCAAGGATGTCAATCCATTTGGAATGACTTTTGATACTGTAAAAAATAAACCCCACACGCCGAGATGCTCGGAGCAAGCCGAAAGCGCGGACATCTCCACCACGCCGCTCGACGCTTCGGCCGAGCGGACCGGCCGACAGTTGGTGACGTGGATTTAAACAAAATATTGATAGAATAGGTCCCGCTGTTCTATTTTCGGCATATCAGGAACCGGCGATGACGCATGAGACATTTGGCTCAACGTGAACCGTACAGATTCACCATTCAACCCATCCTTCTCCCTTCTTCTCAAATATCTCTTCACAAATCACCCAAGAGACATCATGACAGCAAGTGGAGCATTTCTCTCTCCGAAACTGGTGAAGCTCCTCACTACACCCTCATCTAACGTCACATCTTCCTTGGCCCAAGCATCTCCAACTACGTCCGTCAAGCAAGTCGCCGAAGAGCTTTATGGGGAGTATCATCATGATCATCATTCGAACACTTCAACAGACAAAGATTCTTCCACCGAGAAAACAGATTCAGGTGGAATGTCAAAACTTTTAGACAAGCTACATCTGAGAAGAAGTTCAAGCGCAGAAGCGAAAGAAGATGTTCAAGCGGAAAATGACAGTTTGAAGAATACTGAGAAACCAGTCAAGAATCCCGCTGAGAGACAATGGAAAGCTATGAGATCGTTATCGACTCAAGAGCTTGAAGAGGTGAAGAAATATGGTCAATGGGGAGATCAAATCCCATCTGATTTGTTCCTCAATGTCAGTTTGACTCATGTTGGGATGAGGAGAGACTAACGAGACAGATTTACGCACAAGCACTTCTATGTCTTGAAACTCACCCTTTGAGAGGAATGGTTTCTCCTTCTCTTATGGGATCATGTGGTGTGATACCTTTGACCATCATCTCCGTCATACCCGATATCATCCAGGTGAGTGGTGGTCCACCGTTCCATTTCTTCATCAAAATGAGCGTCAACTAACATCAAAGCACCATGCGGACGTCATTGTACGTGCGGAACACGAGGTATTCTTAGCTACCAGTGAGTCTTTTCAAGTGATTCGAAACGGTCAGAACGCTAATATCTAGACTACTGGGAAGCTTCCGGAGCAGCACACACAATAGTATCTGCCATCCGAGAATTATCTCGTAGAGTCGTCGAAGCTGATCGCCCCAAAGTCATCTTCAAGCTCAGTAAGTTCATTCTCCTTTTATCAATGCATTGGACCTAACGGAATAGTGTACGATCGTGGAACTCCATCACAAGTTCTGGAACCTCATCAATTGGTTGATCCAAAAACTTACACTGGTGATAAAGTCAAACTTCCTCATCCTGATGAGATCCCAGGTGTTTTGCTAGAAGTACAAAATTATCATAAACCTCCTGTCGGTACATTCCACGCCAAGTATATGGTAGTGGATCGTAAAGTTGCCATTCTCAACTCTAACAATATCCAAGATCGAGTAAGTTCCCGCGTTCCTTTCCTCACGTTAAGCTGATCGTTAGGTGAATGTAGAGATGATGACACATATCGGTCAGTCAGACTTCCATGACGACCAAAAAAAAAGCTGATGTCGGATAGAAGGACCAATAGTACAAGCTTTCTACGATATGGCTCTTTTATCTTGGTGGACAGCATTCCAACCTCCCCTTCCTCTTCTTGCGCATACTCCCCTATATCCCGCCAATTCTGCGGATGGAAAGTATAAATTTGGAGATGAACATCCGGTTTTGGAAAGTAAAGGGGATTTGGAAACTTCAGCTTCGAAAGCTCGTGAAACTTTGGCTGAACATCATGCGTTTGCTGTAGGAGGACAACAGGCGGATGGAAAGGAAGATGAATTTGATCCGACTAACGACGATGAAGCGGATAGGATCGACAGACGATTTGATACTTCTGATGCTGTCAACAAACATTTGAGTGGGTTGAACTTCATCTCTATACTTTCTACCCCTTCGCCCTTTCACACTTCGACTAAGCCTTTTCGGATTTTCTTCTCTATTCCATCTTAGTACCATCGAGGTGAGGTGCGGCCATCCTGTTTACCCCTCAACACCGTCAGGTGTAGTATCTCTGCGGGCGAAATGTATGAAGATTACTCGTCCGAACTAACGACTCAGACACTGGTAGTAAGATCGACGCCACGGATACCGACCCACCTCCCAATAGCAAAGCTTTCAAACCTATTATTCTCATGCCGCCACATGATCCGGTCCCTATGGCCCTCGTCAACCGACCTCCTCGAGGACGTGAGTTGTTACTTTTCTCTGTACTCGTGTCAGCCCATTCTCACCAAAATTACTTCCCTGTTGTCGTCACATTCGAGTCGTTTGTGATAACGCGAGTATCAAAATGAGGATACGTATCATGGTGGCATTTGTTGAGCGCAGGCCCGGGACATAGCGATACCTTGGTACCTCAAGATCAAGCCTGGCTCGCTGGGTTCAAATTTGCCAAACATAGCGTTTTCATGTTTGTTCTTCTTTCACCTCCGTGAGAAGAGAGCTGAACTGTTTTCAGTCAGACTCCAACGTTCAATGCGACGCCTGTAGTGGAAGCCGCTTTGGACGCATGTAGGAGAGGTGTGATTGTGGAAATCTACGCTGATTTGGGGTTCAACGATGAGGTGAGTTGTTGTGCCCTTTACCGTTGTGACTCACGCTCGCTCTCTCCGTAATTCCCCTCGTCCTCCTGTGGTCTGTTGTTTATCCCTTACCTCTACTTCTTAGTCCGTGTCATCCGTACATAGTCCCAATCACTTTATGACTCTAGGGTCAAGGAAGAAATCCGTTGCCCGAAATACGCGCGGCTTGGAGCTTGGCTAGGCAATCAAGAAACACCAGACGACGTTGAGAAAGGATCATCTGGAAGGATAAGTGTCATCGATACTCACACACAGGGTGAACTACTACCTTATCAAGGAGGTACCAACGAGATGGTAGCAAGTGCCATGTATTCTAGATTGAAAAAAGAACATAAAGACAATCTGAGGATATATTGGTATACTGGTAAAGATCAGAAAACTCCTTTGAACGCTAGTCACAAGAGTCGGAATTGTCATGTGAAGTTGATGAGTGGGTGTTTGGTCTTCCCCCCCCCCCATCTCCTTTTCTGTATCCAGGCCCGTTTCTATGCCCTCTTTCCTTGATGATGAGCTTTGTAGGCTTGTTACCTTTGAGAGATTCTCGTCATTCCTTCCTTCCTTCCTTCCTTCCGTAGATAGGCTAGTAGTTTACGTGGTCCATCAATAATTAATAATCCAATCCCTCTCCCCAGCTCGAAATAATTATTAATCCCATCTCCAACCCAAGTTCTTGTTCCGGTGGTTCTGATATTGCATGCTCCAAAACCTTTCCTATCACATTCACACATGCTCCACCCAAGTCTAGTGCTTCCCATATTCCGGTTTCCCAAGGTGATCAGAATGGAACAAATACGAAAAGAGAAGAAAAAGAAAACAACAGCTGAATTTCTTATAGTCGTAGATGAACAAATAGCCATTCAAGGAAATGGTAATCAAGATACTCAATCATGGTATCATTCACAAGAAATAAACGTTTTATTAGATTCTCCTTTGATCTGTCAAACTTGGAGAGAAGCTATCGATTCTAATCAAAATACTTTATTCTACGGTAGAGTAAGTGTAGAAGATGGGGTTTGGTATGATTCAAAAGGTGAGAAATTACCAGATTGGAAACCACCTCCTAAAGGTGTTTTCAAGAGTTTGAAAGGTGTTAAAGGTGCTATTGATCGTGTGAGAGGTGAAGGGGGATTCTAGGGGAGTAGATCATCTTGTCTTTGTTTGATAAATGATCATCTTGTTTGTGATGAGATCATTTTTTTTGATAAATGATGACTTTTGTTAAGGGATCACGCTGTTTGTGCAGAGGACATCTTGTCTGCGATCTGCAACCGTGAGAAGGAATGGAGAAACATGAATGGAGTAAATATCACGAGAATCTATGTAAATATCATGTATCTGTTTATTTGATTTCTCCGATAATCGTAATTGCAAAACTTCTAGCTGCTAGCTGTTAATTCGTTCGAGAGACCCATGACAACGAGTACTCGTACTCGTGTTCTGATCGCAAGATACTCAGTCAAAGATCAAAAACCTGCATGCAACTTTTTCTTCCCTCTTCCAACCTATTCAAATACCTCATAATATGTACTTGCCCCCGCCCCCTCTTCACCCTCTTCCCCCCCACCCCCACCCCGACCCTTTGCCCTACCTCACCCCTGCAGCACCCAACAACCCTTCCGCCCTCACACGCCAATCTGCTAACCTACTCTCGC